AGGAGTTAGCCGCAGTACAGTTAGGGGAGCGCTTGACTTCGCAGGAGAAAACCCAGGCCCAGAGTTTAATTAAGGAGAAGGGAGCCACCTTCTCCAACCTTCCCGGGTATACCCCATTAGCCACCCACAGGGTGGAAACCCCAGGCCAACCACCCCTCCGTCAACCTCCTTACCGCATTTTAGAAGCGGTAAAAGAGCATATTACATAGTTACAAAGTTACATAGCTGAAAAGAGACTTGCGTCCATCAAGTTCTGCCTACCTCACATTTGTTTTTTGCTGTTGATCCAAAAGAAGGCAAAAAAAATCCAGTTTGAAGCACAATTTTGCAACAAGCTAGGAAAAAAAAATCCTTCTTGACCCCAGAATGGCTGTCAGATTTATCCTTGGATCAGCAGTTATTACCCTACATTGAAAGATTATATCCTTGAATATTCTGTTCTTGCAAGTATGCATCTAGTAGCCGTTTGAACATCTGTATGGACTCTGATAAAACCACTTCCTCAGGCAGAGAATTCCACATCCTGATTGTTCTTACAGTAAAAAAACCTTTCCTTTGCCTTAGACGAAATCTTCTTTCTTCCAGTCTAAACGCATGGCCTCGTGTCCTATGTAAAGTCCGGTTTGTGAATAGATTTCCACACAATGGTTTGTATTGGCCCCGAATATATTTGTATAATGTTATCATATCCCCTCTCAGGCGACGTTTTTCTAAACTAAATAGGTTTAAATTTGTTAACCTTTCTTCATAGCCGATATGTTCCATTCCTTTTATTAATTTTGTAGCCCGCCTCTGCACTTTTTCTAGTGCCATAATATCCTTCTTTAGAACAGGTGCCCAAAATTGCACAGCATATTCAATATGGGGTCTTACCAGTGATTTATAAAGAGGCAAAATTATATTCTTGTCCCGAGAATGAATGCCCTTTTTCATGCATGACAATACCTTACTGGCCTTGGCCACTGCTGATTGACATTGCACATTGTTGCATAGTTTGTTGTCTATAACAATTCCCAAGTCCTTTTGATGTGTTGTTATGCCTAATTCGCTTCCATTAAGGGTATACGTTGCTTGTGTATTCTTTACGCCGAAGTGCATAACTTTGCATTTTTCAACATTAAATTTCATCTGCCGTTTGAGTGCCCAGTCCCCCAGTCTATCTAAATCCCTCTGCAGCAAAGTAATATCTTGCTCACTTTGTATTATTTTACAAAGTTTGGTGTCATCTGCAAACACTGAAACATGACTTTCAATGCGGTCTTCAAGATCATTTATAAACATGTTAAATAGAAGGGGTCCCAGAACAGACCCCTGAGGGACACCACTTGCCACCTCTGTTCAGCTTGAAAATTTACCATTAATGACAACTCTTTGTACTCTGTTTTTAAGCCAATGTTCTACCCAAGAACAAGCATTTTCATCTAGACCGATTTCCTTGAGTTTGAACACTAATCTATTGTGTGGAACTGTATCAAATGCCTTGGCAAAATCCAAATAGATCACATCCACAGCAACACCCTGATCTATACTTCTACTTACTTCTTCGTAGAACGCAATCAAGTTAGTTTGACATGACCTGTGCTTCATAAAACCATGCTGATTTTTGCCGATAACCATGTTCTTCTCAAGGAATTCTTGAATATTATCCCTTAATAACCTTTCAAATATTTTACCAGCCAAGGAAGTTAAGCTCACAGGCTCACTGGTTAATTTCCAGGCAAGGATTTTGAACCCTTTTTGAATATAGGAACCACATCTGCCTTCCTCCAATCCTCCGGAACACTTCCTGAAAGAAAAGAATCTTGAAAGATTAAAAACAGAGGTTCACTTATTTCTGCACTTAGTTCCTTAAGTACACGTGGATGGATACCGTCAGGCCCTGGAGCTTTGTTTATATTGTGATGCTTGTCAGCAGGTAGCACGGTCCTCTAGGGCAAAAACATGCACAGTCCTTGTAATTGCAAATACTCCAGGCACTTTATTTGTAAGTTCACACAGGATACAGCAGTAAATGAAAACATAAATGTAACAGAAAACCCTATAAACAAAAACCTAGCTCGTCTGAGCACTAACTGACATTAGGTTCCCTATCTCTCAGGGTTAAACTAAACAAAACAATAGTGGTTTCACCAACCTCTCAGCACTCCAGTATTTAGCCTTGCCCTGACTGCTTTCCTTTCTTCACTCCCAGTGCTCCAAGCCAGCCTTGACTGCTTCCTTTCTGCACTCCCAGTGCTCCAAGCCAACCTTGACTGCTTCCTTTCTGCACTCCAAGTCCTTGACTCTATCTGGAGAGAACAGCCTCTCTCTCCTACCTGCTGGGAGGAAGCCAGCAATCCCTCTCCTTTACCTGCCTAGCAGGGAGGGGTTTATTCCCACTGCAACAGCTCATTAACTGCAGCTGAGCAGTGGGTTGGAGAAGGTCCAAAAAACCCTGGCCTGGATCTATGTCTCCCCAGAAAACCACTAAACTGTGGAGTGGAGCATTGGCCCACCCTTCTCTCCAAATGCTCCACCCCAGGGGCCCATAACTAAACAAAGCTTTGGGTTGTGCAACACACAAACTACACGTACTTCCCCTGGGGTTAAAAGGCCTATCTGCCTTCACTTTATCACAATATTAACTTTCTTTAGTTGCTGCAGCACCTTGTCTTGAGTTAACCAATTACAATTATTCTGCAAGTTTTTAGTAGCAATCATTTGCACATCTATTGCCATGGGTTCTTCCTTAATATATACGGAGGAGAAATAGTTATTTAAAATTCCTGCCTTTTCCTGGTCTTCATTAATTAACACCCCCGTTTCAGTTTTTAGTGTACCTACACTTTCATTTTGTTTGTTTTTTAGAATTTATGTACTTAAAAAATGCTTTGGGGTTGGTTTTGCTCTCTTCAGCTATCATTATTTCATTTTGAAGTTTAGCAAGTCTAATTGCCTTTTTGCACGCATTATTTGCATCCTTATATCTTTTATAAGATGCATCTGATTTGTCCGATTTAAATGCTTTAAATGCCCTTTTCTTAGTTGTAATCTCTTGTTTTACTTTCTACTAAGCCACATTGGTTTTAATTTGTTTCTTTTATATTTATTTCCCAACGGTACATACTGAGAAATGTACCTTTTTAATATTTGTTGGAAGATGATCCATTTATCCTCAGTGTTCTTTTCACTAAAGAGTTTATGCCAGTCAATATATTGCAAAGCTTCCCTTAACTTATTGAAATTGGCCTTTTTAAAATTATATGTTTTAGTATTCCCCATGTGCTTTTGTTTTTTTGAGTTTATTTCAAAGGACACTATATTGTGATCACTATTTCCCAAGTGCTCACCTACTTGAATGTTGGTCAAAAGATCAACGTTGTTTGTTAAAACCAGGTCCAGACAAGCATCCATTCTAGTTGGTGCTTGTACAAGTTGTGACATGAAGGTGTCATTTAACAAGTTTAAAAACCTAATTCCCTTTGCTGAGGCACTAGTCCCTCTGTCCCAATTTATATCCGGGTAATTAAAATCTCCAATAATTAAAGTGTTACCCAGATTTGCAGCTTTCTCAATTTGCTCAAACAGCTGTTGTTCCTCGTCAATATTAACATTAGGTGGTTTATAGCATATCCCAACCAATAGTTGGTTTCCCTTCTTTTCCCCCAAGCAGATATTTACCCATAAAGCTTCCACATTATCCTCCTCGCATTCCATTTGCTTAACATTTGGCTTTAAATCATGTTTGACATACAAACATACCCCACCACCCTTCTTGTTTTTCCTATCCTTCCTAAATAACATGTACCCATTTAAGTTAGCTGCCCAGTCATGCGTCTCATCCCACCATGTTTCAGTTATGCCTATTATATCATATTGTTTAGTGTATGCTAATGCCTCTAGTTCCCCCATTTTGTTATTGAGGCTCCTTGCATTAGTAAACATACATTTAATATTATGTGTCACTTGTATATTTTGTGAATTTTCACCATTACACAGCTTCTCTGTTCTGAGCTTGCCCCTCCCCCCATTTCCACCACCCTTATACTGTGCTAAAGCCCATCTCCTTTCTGTCCTATCTCCATTTTGTAGATTGCTATGACCCTCCCCCCCTACTACTGGTTTAAAATCTCCTCCAACCTTCTAGCCATCCTATCCCCCAGCACTGCAGACCCTCTCCCGTTTAGGTGCAATCCATCACCACTATAAAGGTTGTACCCAATCGCAAAGTCGGCCCAGTGCTCTAAAAACCCCAAACCCTCCTTCCTGCACCAAGACTTAAGCCACGCATTGACCTCTCTAATCTCCCGCTGCCTTTCCACTGTAGCACGCGGCACAGGTAATATCTCAGAGAATACCACCTTGGAGGTCCTTTTCTTAAGTTTGCTACCTAATTCCCTGAAATCATTCTTTAGGACCTTCCATCTTCCTCTTACTTTGTCATTGGTACCAACATGGACCATGACCGCTGGGTCATCCCCAGCCCCTCCCAATAATCCATCCACTCTGTCAGCAACATGCCGGACCCGAGCACCCGGGAGACAGCAAACTGTCCGGTTGAGCCGATCAGAGCGGCAGATTGCCCTATCTGCTCTCCTAATGATAGAGTCCCCTACCACCACAACCTGTCTTGCCTTCCTTACATTTTGATCCCCACCCGTACTAGGGGGGCTGTTAGCTCGGCTGTTAGAAGTAACAGCTTCCTCTAATACAGCTACTCCTGAGCTGATGCTCCCAACATCTTCCCTCAAACGGGCAAATCTGCTAGGTTGCACCAAATCAGGACTAGCTAGCCCTTTCCTCTTCCCTCCCCCCCTGCTTCCTCGCCCCACTGTCACCCAGCTACATGCCTGTTCCCCATCTGTCTTATCTCCTCCCTCTCCACTACCTGTCCCCACTAAACTCTGCTCAGTGAGCAGTAGACTCCTCTCAAGATTGTCAATCTCCCTCAAAGTTGCGATTTGCTTCTCAAGATCTCCAATCTGAGCTTCCAGAGAAGCCACTCGCACACAGCCATCACAGAGGTATGGACCGTGGACGGGTATATCCAGGCATCCATACATGCAACAAGATGTGCATTGAGTCAAACCAGCAATCTTGCTAACACTCATTTCCCCAGAAACAGAAAATTAAAACAATTACCTTGTTAGTTTAAACCCCTTGTTTGTTTCAACTCCTGGTTTTCTAACTCCTACTTGAAAGAGTCTACTTAATAGTGGCTGCTTTCAAATAATGTGAGCAAGCTCAGTGAGTTAGGGGTGTGCCTTTATGGGGATACAAATCCCACACCGGTGCAATTAATGAACACTCCCCCAATCAATCAAGAAGCAGCACAAAAAAAGGGGGGGAAACCAGAACACAGAAAAAAAAAGAAAATATAAAAAACTAATTTTTTTTTTTTTTTTTAAACCTTACCAATTTTAAAGATTAAACAAAAATCAAATACAAACCACTCCAAGTAACTCCTGGTTTTCTAACTCCTACTTGAAAGAGTCTACTTAATAGAGGCTGCTTTCAAATAATGTGAGTGTAAGGAGATTGAAGAAATGTTACAATTAGGGGTTATTGAGCATTCAGATAGCCCATGGGCGTCCCCAGTGGTACTAGTGCCGAAGCGGGATGGCACAACCCGCTTCTGCGTGGATTATAGACGGCTTAATGATAAAACTGTATCCGATGCCGACCCCATGCCACGCATAGACGAGCTGTTAGACAAGATGGCCCGAGGCCAATATCTAACCACGATCGACCTGTGCAAAGGGTATTGGCAAATCCCTTTAGCTGAGGACGCCACCCCTAAGTCAGCGTTTGTCACTCCGTTTGGCCTATACCAGTTTAGAGTCATGCCATTTGGAATGAAAAACGCTCCAGCCACCTTCCAGAGAATGGTAGACCGACTATTAGACGGGTTTCAGGAACACGCGTGCGCCTATCTGGACGACATAGCGATTTTTAGCTATTCCTGGACCGACCACCTGAGCCATGAAGGGGCCGTCTTAGACCGTATTAGAGAGGCAGGGCTAACCCTTAAACCCAGTAAGTGCCATATAGGGATGGCCGAAGTCCAATATCTAGGAAAACGAGTAGGAAGTGGCCAACAGAAGCCAGAACCGGCCAAAATAGAGGCTGTAGCCAAATGGCCAACCACCCGCACCAAAACCCAGGTTTTAGCATTTCTAGGTAGCCAGCTAAATGCTTTCTAGTCCATACAGAAGCTTCTATGTTTGGATTGGGAGCAGTACTGAGCCAAGTCGGAGCGGATGGCGGCGAGCATCCTGTGGCTTACTTAAGCAGAAAACTTTTACCTCGAGAAGTAAGCTATGCCGCCATAGAAAAAGAATGCCTTGCAGTGGTGTGGGCCCTCAAGAAACTACAACCATATTTATATGGACAACCATTTGCGTTACTCACAGATCACAACCTGTTGGTCTGGCTGAACCGGGTATCAGGGGACAATGCCAGGCTGTTGCGCTGGAGTTTGGCGCTGCAGCCTTTTGACTTTATGATCCAGTACCGCCCGGGAAAGCTAAATGGCAACGCCGACGGGTTGTCCAGACAAACT